CCCAGTTTATATACTGAGCATGACGTCATATGGTATGGAATAGCCCTTTGGTCAGTTTGGATCAACTATTGTGGCTGTGCCCCCTCCCAGTTTCTTGTGCGCCTGGCAGAGCATGGGAAGCTGAAAAAGTCCTTGACTGGCATAAGCAGTACTCAGCAACAACTAAAAACATCAGCGTGTTATCAACATTCTTCTCCTACTAAATCCAAACCACAGCACTATGCCTGCTGCTAGGAAGAAAATTAACTCTATCCCAGCCGAAACCAGGACACCTTGTCAGTGTGCAGGACCTCTGAGGGTACACTGGTGGTGCAACTGCAGCACTAAAACCACCAGCTGCAGCACTTTTTAGCCAAGGGACCAAAGCCACTTTTAACACCGGCCTGGCATCTGAACCCCATCCCCACAGGCATCCCCAGTGTAAAGCTGTCACTAGGCAGCCTGCCTTTCAGCTGAAGCCAGCAGCTGTACTGGCTTTTGCAGGGCAAAAGCACATGATGCAAAAATAAAAGGAGCAAGCACTGCTGCAGTGCCCATGTTGCAGCAGGAGCAGGTTCTGTTACACCTGCTGCCAGCCTGCTTGACAGGAGCAGTTCTTTACCCAGGAGATACCAGGGAAAGTGCCATGTTCCTGGCCTGGCTTTTGGTTGGGGACATGCCACATGCATCCAGCACCTGCTCCTAACTGCCTCCCGCCTCACACAGGGCCAGTGGCCAGGCCCAGCTGCTGGGTTAATCCACCTTATACCTAAGGCACCTCATACAGAGCAGCCAATGGGTGTGGGTCTCCCCCAGAGGTGGGGGAGACTTCAAGCAAATTCACAGCATCTTGGCTACCTGCAAGGGATCTCACCTCCTATCACTGCAGGATTTTTATATTCTTTTTCCAGGTTATTAAAAATTCTCAGGCATTTCACTGAGACCCTTCCCTGTTTAATCCAAGTCCTGGCTACAGCTGCCCACTCCACCCATGGCCACTGGGATGTCAGGAGAGGCTGATCCCTTCCCCAGCCCCAACCAGGACACCGAGGCCCTTCTAGAAACCAGCCTATGTTGTGTTACTGGCCAGCTCAGCTCTTCTCAATGCTCCCAAGGGTGGAAGTTGTTATGCTCTATGTTAAGGAGAACCTTGAATGTGTAGAAGTCAACTATGGCAATTGTGGAAGCCCTATCGAATGCCTCTGGGTCAAGATCAGAGGGGTCATCTCCAAGGGGGATCTTAAAGTAGGCATCTGCTACTGGCCTCCAAACCAAGGCGATAAGGCCAAGGAAGCAATATCTGGGTCACTTAAGCAAGTTTCAGGTCAACAGAACCTGGTTCTTATGGGTGACTTCAACTACTCAAACATTTGTTGGAAGAACAATACAGTTCCTGGAATGAATAGAGGACTGCTTCCTCATACAAATGTTAGATGTGCCAAATAGGAATGAGGCACTTGCTGGACTTCATACTCACAAACCAAGAAACCCTGCTTTGTAATATCTTGGTTAGTGATAGCCTTGGCTGCAGTGATCACAATATTATGGAGTTTGGGATCCTGCTGAGCACACTGAAGGTTAGTACTAAGACAAAGGTTTTAGATTTTAGAAGAGCAAACTTCAGCTCACTCAGAGCTCAGCTGGAAGGGATTCTGTGGGAAGCTTCCATGGAGGATAAAGAACCTAGCGAGTGCTGGGAGTTTTTCAAGAACACTCTCCTGGAAGCACAAAAACAGCTCACCTCCTTTAAAGGTAAGGGAAGTAGGTGGAGCAAAAGACCCCCTTGGCTTAACTGTGAGCTTCTGAGTCTGCTCAAAACCAAAAGAGAAACATACCGGAGATGGAAAAGTGGACAAATACCTGTTGAGAACTACAAGGGCATTGCCAGGGCATGCAGAGATGCAGTTAGAAAAGCAAAAGCTCAGCTCGAATTGAAATTGGCCAGAGATGTCAAAAACTACAAGAAAGGGTTCTTCAGGTACATAAACAACAAGCAGAAACAGAAGGAAAATATTGGCCCACTGTTAAACAGAAGAGGTGAATTAGTCACCAACAATGCTGAAAAGGCAGAGGTTCTCAACACTTTCTTCACCTCTGTCTTCACCAGTGCTGTTGGTCCCCAGGCCTTGGGAACAAAAATCCAGGCTGATGCAAACACAGACCCATCGTCAGTGAAGGAAGAGTTGGTGTGTGAGCTATTACAGGAGCTTGACCCCTACAAATCGATGGGCCGTGACAATATCCACCCGAGGGTGTTAAGAGAGCTGGCTGATGTCATTGCGAGGCCAATCTCCATAATCTTTGAGAAATCGTGGAGATCAGGGGACATCCCAGAAGACTGGAAGAAGGCTAATGTCAACCCCATCTACAAGAAAGGCTTAAAAGAGGATCCAGGAAATTATAGGCCCATCAGTCTTACTTCAGTCCCTGGGAAAGTTATGGAACAAATCCTCCTAGGGGCTATCACAAGTCAAATGAAGCATGTGATTGGGAAAAGCCAGCATGGATTCACCAAGGGCAAATCATGCTTGACAAACCTGATCTCTTTCTACAACAAAGTAACCTGCTTGGTTGATGTGGGGCGAGTGCTGGACATTGTCTATCTGGATTTCTCCAAGGCTTTCAATATAGTTTCCCACAGCCTCCTCCTAGAGAAACTGATGCATTACAGTCTAGACAAGTGGTCTGTGCAGTGGGTGGGGAACTGGCTGACAGGATGCGCCATAGGGTGCTGGTAAATAGCTCCTTTTCAAACTGGCAACCTGTCACAAGTGGGGTCCCCCAGGGACTGATATTGGGCCTGACACTGTTTAATATCTTCATAAGTGATCTGGATGATGAGATCGAGTGTACCCTGATGAAGTTTGACAGTGATAGCAAACTGAGTGGGGAAGTGGACACTTTGGAAGGGAGAATCACCCTGCAGGAAGACCTGGATAGGCTGGAGGAGTGGGCTAACAGGAACCTTATGAAGTTCAACAAAGACAAATGTAAGGTCTTGCACCTGGGAAAACAATCCAGGAGTGCAGCACAGGCTGGGATCTACCTGACCGGGGAGCAGCTCTGTGGAAAGGGACCTGGGGGTCCTGGTGGTCAACAAGCTCAATGTGAGTGAACAGTGTGCTGCTGCGGCAAAGAAAGCCAACAGGATGCTGGGTTGCATCAACAAGTGCATCACCAGCAGAGAGGTCATTATCCCACTCTACTTATCACTTGTCAGGCCACACCTGGAATACTGTGTTCAGTTTTGGTCCCTGCTATACAAAAAAGATGTGGACAGGCTGGAGAGGGTCCAGAGAAGGGCCACAAAGATGATCAATGGACTGGGAAGCCTGCCATATGAGGAAAGGCTGAGTGAACTGGTTTTGTTCAGCCTTGAGAAAAGAAGGCTTAGGGGAGACCTTATCACCATGTTCCAGTATTTAAAGGGTGGCTGCAAAGAAGATGGAGACTCCCTTTTTACAAGGAGTCACATGGAAAAGACGAGGGGTAATGGGTACAAGTTAATCCTGGAGAGATTCTGACTGGACACAGGAGAAAAATTTTTCACAGTGAGAACAATCAGCCATTGGAATAGTCTTCCCAGGGAAGTGGTGGATTCCCCAACACCGGACACTTTTAAGATTTGGCTGGACAGGGTGCTGGGCCATCTTATCTAGACTGTGCTTTTGCCAAGAAAGGTTGGACCAGATGATCTTTGAGGTCCCTTCCAAGCTGGTATTCTATGATTCATATAATTCTATGATTCCCTCCCTTTGCAAGCACCTTTGCTGGCTCAGCAGACAGCTTAGTTCTTCCTGCATTTGGACAGTGATTAAAGAATAGATGGTTTGGACAGTCAGTTCAGACCACAAGCTCCCAAATCTCTGCCCAGGTGTATACAAATAGAGCAGCTGCTCAGAGGGATGTTGTAGGGTCCTTCGGGTCCCCAGAAGGTTGAGGCAGAGCAGGCTGCAGAGGCTGAGAACAGGCACCCAGGTAACAGCCAGCTGCAGAGCTGCCCTGGCCCTGACCCATCTCCACTTACAGCAGCACAGCAGCAGTGTGGAAACCAGCAAGCACAGGCTGGGGTGGGAGGTTGGTGCTAACTAGTTTGGTGCTGATGAGTCAGTTATCCAGCAGGTGACCATGGACATCTCCAATAACATAATGAGGTGGTTGTGCTGTGATTTGTCTGCATCAGGAGCATCCCACAGATGCATTGGTGGGACACTGCCCAAGACAGAATGTGGCCCAAGACATGGGGCGTGGGGAAGGTGAGGATGCCCCGTGCATCCATCTGTGCCACAGATGAAAATCACATAAGTAAGCACCAGCTGCTCATGCTGCTCTGTGGTTAGTAAAAGGCCATGGCACATGGTGCATGAGGGTTTTATGATGCCTGTCACACTAGTGGTTTAAAAACTTCTAGGGTGAGAAAATACTGATGTCAGTGGTAGGTGCGTTCTATCGATTGCTTTACAGAGCGTTGATTTCTTTGCCCAACTAAATGTCAAACAGAGGTGTCAGTACTAGCCTGGTTGGAAATACCATGGCACTGGTCTGGGGTGGTCGCTTGCTGGGTTTTTTCATGCACCACAAGAGCCAGCCGGAGCTGGTCAATGAAGCCCAGCTGCCAGGGACAACCCAGTGCATGAGAAGGAAGTGATTTGCTTGATGTTTTAGCAAGCCTTTGTGTTGAAGAGGCAAACAACACATTGGCTATATCCACAAGCCCTCCCCAGGATAGGAACACAGGTCAGATGCCCTGTAAAGCAGGTTTGCTGGGGTTTCTAAGGTACCACCGAAACAGACTCCAATATACTTGAGACAAGTGCAAGTAGCACACTGCCAGTCTATCTGGGCATCTATTCCTTCCTCCCACCCTCTGGGTTTGCAAACACTTCAATTAAATGTGACCTGTGGGCACGTCTGAATCAAGATCCTTGTGCTGTGTGACTGCTGCAGCGTGTGGAGACCCCCGGCAAGGTGCCTGCAGGTCTGTGGGGACTGTGAGGGTCACTTGGCAGCCTCCCTGCATCCACAGGCATTTCTGGGTAGAAAGCAATTGGACCCAGAGCACGTTCTGGATGGTCACCCCCTTACCCAGCCTGTATCTACCCCGTTTGGCTACACAGAGGCCATGGGAGACCATGCTGAAAGCTTTGCTGAAGTGAAGGTTCTCCCCTCATCCACACGGCCAGTTATCTCATAAGGCACTCAGGTTGGTCAGGTACAATGTGCCCTTTGTAAATCCCTGCTGGCTGTTCCCTTCTCATCCTTCAGGTGCTTGGCAGTGATTGCTGGGAGGATTTGTTCCATCACCTTCCCAAGGACAGAGGTGATGTTAGGCAGGCTGTAGTTCACCATGGCTTTCTCACCCTGCTCAAAGTTGTGTGTGATGTTTGCCTTCTCCCACTCATCAGGAACCTCCCGATTGCTATGATCTTCCAAAGAGCTCAGAGAGGAACCTTGCCATGGCATCAAGCAGCAGCCTCAGCATCCCTGAGTGCATCCAACCCAGTCCTATGGACTTGTGTTTGCGTGCCCTAAGTCAATCTTCCTCTAGGATGGGTAACGCCTCACTGCTGCAGACTCTGCTGCTAGGACCAGGGACCTGGGAGGCTTGAGGGCAAACCTCAGCAATAACAACTGAGTCAAACAAGACCTTGAGTACCTCAGCTGCTCTGGGTCTGTGGTCAGTAGGACCAGGGACCTGGGAAGCTTGAGGGCCTTACTGGCCAGCAAGAGCCTGGCTGCAGGAAGCCCCTGCTGTGTTGCCAGTGCCCGTGGGCACTGCCTCCTGAGCCAGCATCGCCCAGAGCTGCGTGGGGTGGGGGGATCCAGGGTGCTGTGAGTCACCCTCTCTGCTAGAAGGAATTTGCTTCTGTTTCGCCCCTGGAGACTTGCTGCACGTAATAGATTCAATCTTTGAAATCTGCTGCACTTAATAGATTAAATCTCAATAAATTCTGTTTCCTTCCTCATTCCAGCTCAGCTTAGCCCCACTATGACCTGACCCATACTTTGGGGCTTTCCAGAGGTGTAAGCTCATCTATGTTGAAACCTGCCACATCCACCCAGCACTCCCCAGTGCCTGACTTTCCTGCAGGCTGCAAGACCTCATAGGTGCCCTGCATGGGAGGGCTCTGGTGCTTTCTGCAAGCTGCCTGCAGCCACAATAGCTGCTTTCATTTTCATTTTTCTCCGTGCTGGGAACTGTGCAGCTCCACCCGTGGTACCAGAAGCCTGTATGGTGCAAGGGCTCTGGGTCTCTGTCTGCAGCAGCAGCCTCCAAAAAGAGCTGTGGCTGTGCAGGCTGGAGCACAGAGCACATTAACTGCAGTGCAGGAAACCCAGGCAGCATCCGGTGTTGCAGCTGGTAACTACTCCGGTGAGTGCAGCAAGAGGAGTGAGTGATGGCCCCGTGGCTGTGGAGCAGGGAGGGCTGGCGTAGGGTTGGCCTCAATTTGAGAGTGGGGTGGCCAGCTAGGCTCTGTCTTGCTGAGCCCACCTGGGCACAAGGGGCAGCCCTGAGGTGGCTTGTGCATCGCACAAGGGAACGTCCCCAGAAGCGGCTGTGTTTCAGCAGCGTGCAAAGGAAGGGATGGCTGTTGCGTGCTTTGGGGTGCTCAGTGAGTGCTGGATGTGCATGTGTGTCCCCCTTCTCCACTCCCCACAGCACTGCTGTGGGAGCTGGGGACAATTGCTGCTGAACACCCCCTCTCTGCTGCAGATGTCTCAGGAATTGTGGCAGCCGAGCCACCCCACCACCTTGCTCATCCCCAAGGCCCGGGGAGGGCGAGCGCAGCGGGCCATGTACCTGCTTCTGGCTCTGTGTGCTGCAGCACTGTACCTCACCGGGGAGCCCCTTGTGCCCACCGCCCGCATAATCACCTCCCACATTGTGGCCCTGCAGATCGGGGTGCTGCTCAAGGGCACCTGCTACCTGGCAGAGGAGATCTTCCACCTCCAATCCAGGTGAGCCAGCATGGGCAAGGCTGTCTCCTGGGCCACCCTGGGGACAAGGGAAGAGCAGCCTCTGGGTGTCAGGAGGGATCTCCTCCTTCTTTCTGTCCCCATGCATGCCCTCTGTGGCAATGCTCTGCTGTGTGCCGGCAGCACATGCTGCTTTCCATCAGCCTTGTGTTTTTCTCAGCTCCTCCTCCTCCTCCTCCTCCTCTCCCTTCTCCTGCCTGCCCAGCTCAGCGGTATGTCTATGGACCTCTCCCTCTCCTCTCTGTGGTAGCTCCCTAGTGTGCCCTTTACCTGGGGAGCAGATCTCAGCCCGCAGCCTTCCCCTACTGCCCAGTGCCGGAGGGCATGGGGCTGTTGGAGATAATCTCCCCTTGCAGTCTAGGGCAACATTACATCTGCTCCCCTCTGAGACCCATGGGTGCTGCAAGAGACCCAAGCCCTCTCCTGGCTGGGGGCACCCAGGGTGTGCTGAGCAGGGTCCCACAGGGCTCCCTGGCTCCAGCTCTAGGTCAGCAGCACTGGCAGAAAGGTGGAAGCATCCCCTGGCCAGTGCCCTGTGGTTGCAGATGGGGATGGCGGGCAGGCAGCCACCATCTTGTCTCCTGTCTCCCTCTCCCACCCAGGCACCAAGGCAGCTTCTGGAGGATGCTGAGTGCCTGCTTCCCCCTGCGCTGGCATGGGCCTGTGCTGCTCGCCTGTGGCTTAGCCTATGTGGCTCTTCTTGATGGAGATGGGCAGCCACTCAACTTCCACCTCGGCCTGGCCACCCTCTGCCAGCTCCTCATCCTCACTCTGGGGCTCCATGTAAGGCACCAACACCTCTAGCCTGGCCAGCCATCCTGGGGAGTGCAGCAGCCCCAAGTGGTTGTGGGGGGCACATGGCCCAGCTCTGCGCAGTCCCTGCACGTACAGCCCATCCGCACGCAGCTCCGCAGTGGCAGACATGCTCTCATTAGCTCAGCCCCGAAGAGCTGATCTCCTCGGCCCCATACTGCCACGCATGCCAGCAGGAGGGCCAGGCTGCCTTGTGATGAGCACAGCCGCCCCGGGCACTGGCAGCAGTGTTGCTGCAGCCAGCACCCCGCTGACACAAAAACCAGGGATAATTTTAAATCTGTCAGTCAAGCTCGTGCTTGGGGGAAAAGGGTAGTCTGTGTGGTGTCCAAAGGGTTAATTATCAGGCATGCTGTGGGTGGCAAAAATACCTCTGCAGCATTGGGAGGGCTCTGCTTTACCTCAGTAGAGCTGGAAGGGGAGAGGGGTCACACAGGCTCCAGAGAAGTGATTTGGGGAGGGCAGCCGTCAGGTGCCTGTGGGGTTTCAACACCCATTTCCACCTAAATGAACACACAGAGCCAGCAGGGGCCACCAGTGGCCCTGGAAATCCCACCATTAGGTGCTGGAATGTCTCCTCCCATATGCTGGAAGCACTGGGCAGATGCACAAGTTGCACTGGGACACACAATCCCAATGCAGCCAGAAATGTGTCTGGCTTGCTCCAGCATCAGCTTCCTCATCTGCAGGGGCTGTGTGGGCCATTGAGGACCCTTGCCCCGCTGCCCAGTGTGATGGTGGAAGGGGGCAGCAGGGTTGCTCACTCTCCAGATCTCTTTGGAGAGGGTGGCTGCTCTCCAATCCCTGTAGAGAACTGACTGTTGCAGAAGAGCCTAGGCGGCTGCTTTCATCACCGCTGGTTTGTCTTTCCTTCCCTCTGCAGAAGCCCTCAGCAGTGGAAGTGTCTGAGATGTCTGAGAGGTCCAAGCAGAACGTCGCTCATGGGCTTGCCTGGTCTTACTATGTTGGGTACCTAAAAATAGTCCTGCCACGTATGTAGCTGTTTCCCTGCATTATCATGCCTACATATAGAAATAGCTTCTAATAACAATCCTTCCACTTTTACAGTGTTAGCAGGGAAATGGGGAGCAAGGTAGAAAGCAGCTGTACTCATGCCAGGCACCTCTGTCTAATGCTGTCTTCCACCAGGGGTGAAAAAGTCGATGGAGGAATTCAGCAGAGCCAACCCCAATGTGCTGGCATGCAGGGAGACTTGGAAGCTACACATCTTGGTCCCTCTGACCTGTGACATCTATGATGACCTGGAGAAAGCTGACAGCAATATTCAGTACCTGGCAGATCTCACTGAAATCACCCTGACCCGAGCTGGCACTAAAAAAAGGGTCTACAAGCACAGCCTCTACACAATCACGGATGAAGACAACAAGGTATACTGAGTGAAGCACTGGGAGAGCCATCGGCATGCATCAGCCCAAAGGTCTTCATGGCCTCAGATCCCAGCCCAGAAGTGGCCATAAGGGCAGGACAGTGTCCCCTCTCCTATTACATACTCCCAGCTTTCAGCAGACTTCTGTGAGATAGAGAGGTCCTGTTCGTGACAGCCATCTGCACCCCTTCCTCCTGGCTCCCTCCTCCCAGGCTCAGCCCTTGCAGGGATGTTGAGCTCACTTAACCCCTCCTGGAGTTGATTTAAGTCCGGAAAACAGCAGAAAGCTGAGCACAAAAAGGCAGATGTGGGTTCCAGAGCATCACTTCCCATGGGACGAATGAATATTGCTTTTTGTTGTGAAGAGGTGCTTGAAAATGTCTGTGTGAGTTGTTATATAATATGACTCTCTCCCCTTCCCCCAGTCACCTCTTTCCAGCACTGATGAGCCCTAAATCCCTCCATCTCACGTTGCATTCATCTCCTTCCACATCTTCAGGCAGATGGGCCTCTGCCCCTGCACCCTTGGAGGAGGGAACACACTGGTCCTGCTGACATGGCCATGTAATGGAGGCATCAGCAGAGCCATGCTTCTCACCCGGGTCTCCCTAATTTGCCTTTTGATGGTGGCTGAGCACTGAGCTGCTGCTTTTAAAGCCCTGCCTGCAGGGACTCCAGAACCTCTTTCCTGGCCCTGCTCCTGGGGAAGTACAGTCAGCATCAGGTTTTTCCTGCTACAAGGCATGCACTGATGCTGTGTTTCATCTGCCAGTCTCCTGCTGAGTCACTCGGCACCAAGTGAGCTCCAGCAGCTCTGCAGCTTGGACCTGTCCTGACCCACTGTGTGTTGTCAGTAAAATCTGTCCCTCAGCTTGCTGCCCAGTTGCTGGTGAACACATGCATGACAGCAATGCTAGCTCCCATCCTTGGCACCTGCTCTGGGTCACCGTGGCGACTGCCCTCCAAGGCTGGTAGCTCTTCCTGCCTACTCTGCATTTACCCAGGGATCCTGTCCCTCTTCCTTCTAATGCACTTGATTAAACTTTCCAGTTTGCCCAATATAAGACTTACTGGTAACCCTGCTCCTCCTTGAAATTTTTATGGCCTTAACAAATCTCTCCTCATTTGTTTGATCAGCCTCCTTCTAGCTATGCATTCATCTTGCCAGCATTTATCCTCTTCTCTGTTCTCCTACTCTCCGTCAGGATGCTCAGACTTCCCCTTCTCTAGCAGAAAAGCCACCAAGAAGGTGTAATCAGACATTGGCAAGGGGCATCTCCACAGAGGACTAAACTCCATAGAGAAAATCACTTCCCAGGCTGTGGCACCCTGGGGCCCCGTGGGAGGAAGGCAGCTTCCTGAGCCCACCTGCCGCATGGGGCACAGCCATACCCCAGGCCAGTACTCTGCCAGGCCAGTTGCTGTTTCCCACTCAACACAGGGCAGGAGGACATTCAGGCCAGAACCAGTGTCCCTGTCCTGGGGGTCCAGCACACAGCACCAGTGCAGGGCAGACCATGGAGCTTCCAAGGGGTCTCAAGGGCTCTGCCCAGCACCAGGGTCGTCCAGCAGCCCTTTCCCAGGCGCTTGGTCCTCCTGCCCCTATGTCTTTTTCTTCCATCCCTGCAGGTCTGGCACTGTGCAGTGGAGTATGCCACACCACTGCAGTCCCTCTATGCCATGTCCCAGGATGAGTGTGCTGCCTTCAGCCGAGAGGACCGCCTGGAACAGGCCAAGCTTTTCTACAGGTCATTGGAGGAGATCCTGAAAGGCTCCAAGGAGTGTGCGGGTACCTACCGGCTCATTCCATATGAGGGTGAGTGAGGACGGGAAGAGGGTAGGGGTGCCCAGCATGGTGGCTGTGCTCCCCCAGCCCCTTGAGTGACCTCAGATCAGGGCAAAAAAGGGGAACTAGGCAGGTTCCATGTAGTGCTTGGCTGATATCCCCACTCACACGGGCATGGATGTCCATGCCGCAGTGGGAGAAAGGGGCTGCTTCCTGACACAGAAGAACTTCTTGCTGTGGGTCTCAGAGGAATGGGGAGGATGCTGGCAGAGCTAGTCCTTGTTGAAGTCCCCAGAGGCACCTGGAAGAAGCAGTCTTCCACTGGGGGAGCAAGAACACTCCCTCAATGATTAAATATAACAGTGGGCTTCCAGGGGAAGAAGCAGCCCCCTTCACTGCTGATGTTCCTGGGAGAAATGACTGCGGCTGTCAAGCCCTCCCCAGCATTGGGATGGGTGTTGGGGTGTGTGCTGGTTCAGTGGCATTCCTCCTGACAGGGGATGAGGAGTGAGGGTATCCCTTCTTCCTTTTAATTTCCCTTCTTCCCACCTCTGCCAGAGCAGCAGGGCTTGAAAACAGCTTGCTGCTTTTTGCTGAAATGAATCTCATTGTTTTTCAGAGGAAATTCAGCACTCTCCCTGATCGGGAGAAGCATTTCTATCCAGCGAGGTAGTTTCCATCACAAGCACTACTGGGAAACCAGCACATACTGCCTGTATTTTACTTTCCTTCCTGCACTTTGTGTTTTATTTTCTTTCTTCCGGCATGCTCAAAGGGGGAAGTAAGAACAGTTATTTTGACTTCTCAGAAATCTTGCATACTTTGGGGCATCTCCCAGAGACTCTGCTCTGCTCCCTGCCCAGACCCCTGCCTCGGGTCAAACCATTGAAGGTGGGTTTTGTCTGTCTTCTGTTCCAGAGTCGGGCGAAGCAGAGACTCACTTCTTATCCAGAAACGTCCTCTGGCACCTCCAGCAGCAGCGTCACGAGTACACCATGTACGAGGGGAACCAGCCACACAATCCATCCATGACCCTCAGCTCAACAGAGCTCAATCTCCAGATAAGTGAGTCAGACCTGCCACAGCCTCTGCGAAGTGACTGCTTCTAAAGCACCAGCACTGCCCAGCCCCACACGACTGCCTTGGGGCTCTGGTCCCCCTTCCCCAAGCCCCTTCCTCTTGCAGCAAGTGCCGCCCATGACAGCGATCCCCAACCTCCTGCAGGAACTGCCCACCAAGACCTCCTGTGCATCATGTTTACTGGAGACAACTGACTCAAACCACAGTCCTGTGACATACTTCCCATTTTCTTTGTTATGTATATCTCATATATTAATCCACGGGTGGTTTTTTTTTTAATCTGCTTTGATTAATAAATATTAATTAATAAAGCATTTTAAAATTAATAAAGCATTTTCCTCCGGAGTAAGTTGCATTATCCTGAATCTTGGACACAATGTGCTGTCTGCCCTTGGAAATCCTGTGGTGTTGGACAGGGCTTTGGAAATCCCAGCCATGAGTGTATATGTGTATGCTGGGTCCAACACATCCAGCCAGCATGGCCTGGCTAACCTGATGGCTTCTGCAGGCACAAGGAGTATGGGCAGGACTCCCAGGGTACCCTCCAGCCTGATGGACCCACTGTGCAGTCACACACAAATATCCTCACTATCCACCCACTTGGGATGTGGAGGTAGAAGAAGAGGAAGTCAGGCCTGGGGAACTCTGATATTGAATAGTCCCACAGTGCAAGAAACCTCCCTGCCTTTGCTCCATCCAGTAATTTTGCACTGAGAGCCATCTGTGGTGCCTGCCGATGCCCTTCGTGCCCACATTCCTCCCAGGCACTCCACAGAAGTGTTTCTCCAGCCCCGAAGGACATGCTAGACCCCCTGGAACTCTGGGAAAGGGGCAGGGTGCAGTGCTGGGACAACTGGCTTGGGGTTTTTGGTGCAAGACATCACACATTGGGCTGCTCATCCCTCTGTGCCTGGTGGTGAGGTACCCTCAAGAAGCCCAGCAAGCCAGGCCCTCCCTGCCCACTCAGGCCCCATGTGGTCAGGTAGAAGCAGGGCAGAGGATGTGCAGCGGGTCTCCTCAGCATGGCTCTGAGAGACAATTTCTTGGCTCTGCCCATCTACATGCTCCTCCAGGATCTGCCTGGAGGAGATGCCTAGGCTGAAAAAGGGGCTGTACCCACGCCAGCCCCAATGCCTGGAGACCCTGCGTAAGGCCACATTTGCTGGAGAAACCCAGCTTGTGAGGGATGGAGCCTGCTCCCGAGGGACTGCCAGAACCAAGAAAGCAGATGAGAAATACAGTTCCCTGTGGTGGGCTGCTGCCAGGAGCCTTCTCAGTCGGGAAGACAGCAAAATCCCAAAGGTGCTTTGCATGACCTGGGCCAGCCATGGGGCAGGGGAGCCAGCTGGTCCCTCAGGCAACCAAGCATGAGTGACACAGCATGGCCAGAGCTGTGTTCCATGGGGCAGGGTGGTGGCTCCAGGGCTTGTTGCTTACCAGGTTGCCAGAGACTATGGCAAAGCTTTGCCATAGTGCAGCTTGGCAAGGCCACAAAGATGGTGCCAGAGCTGTGTACCCACTGCTCCATGCCTCTGTTTCCCCTTTTCCCAAGAGCTGAAGGAGTATCTAGCCAGCCAGTTGTGCCCTGGGAGGGAAGGGCAGGCAGAAGACAGCTCAGTTGGCTTGTTACCCTCTGATGTTGCAGCATCCCTACATGGATGTGATCCCTTTGGTCCCTCCCAGCTCCCAGGACTTTAGCAAAATGATGAAGTCCCTTGAGAGCTCCTATTCACCCTCAGCCCAAACTTCCAGCACCAGGGCCTACACACAGCTGTGGCCATCCTCTGGCCAGCCATGGAGACCCCAAGGGGACTGCGGAGTCCAGGGGCCCAGAGGAGGTGACCTGGCCACATGGCTGAGGATGGTGACAGGAGTGCTGTGCCTGGTTCGCTCCTGGCTCTACTCACAGTTTCCTGGGTGGCTTTGCATGGAGCCAGACACACAAAAGCACCCTAGGGGACGATACTACCTCTGTGGATACTGGTGAGTCTCCAGCAAAGCCAGCTTCCCTGCCACTATTTTTCCAGTGTGTGTAGGTCCCTCAAATCCTGTCGAGACTTGTTGGCCAATGGTCTGGTGCCAGGTATGCGATCTCTCTAACAGCAGGCTCAGGCTCCTTACTGGAGCTGTGGCTGCCCAGCCTAGCCATGTCCTTGCCACATAGCTCCTGTCAGCAGCACCCAGCAAGCTGCTCCTTCCAGAAGCCCAGCTTCCACTGGTCTGAGCATGCACAGCCCATGCAAGGGCCATGATGCACTGCAAGGGTAACAAAACCAGCCAAGAGAACAGAGCCAACCACGGCGGTGGGGATCATGGCAGGGTGCTGGGTTTCTTTGTCAGTCCCAGGCGGTGGCAGAGATGAAAGAAGGGCAGGAAGACGGGTGCCCCAGCCTGGGAGGCAGAGGTGCCTGGGGAGCAATCCTGAGACAAACTAAACAGCTGCACATTTATGTCACTGCTTCTTCACATACCTGGTACAACAGCTTTGGTGCTGGTGGGGGGCTGTGGGTGTGGGGCTCCCAGCAGGTGAGAAGGCAGCTCTAGTGGGCAACCTGGCACAGCACCAGACACTGCTGGGAGCCTGGTTTAAAAGCAGCCTGCCTGTGCTGCCTCCAGGGGCAGTTCAAAGGGCTCTGACATGAGAGTGCTGCTTCAGCCTTGTTTGCTCCACAAAGAGCTCATTGGGCTCATCTCAGAAATGTAGGCACACCACCACCACCCAGGATTGTCCTCTGAGTGGAAGAAGGAAAACCTGGGTGTACTATTTTGAACAGTTGGATGAAAGCTTGGATGACTGCAATTTCTGCTGGGAAGAAGGTAGCCTGGAAAACCCTCACCCTGCAGTCAGCCACCACTGGCCACCGGTGGCTCAGCCCACATGAAGCCTGCAGAGCCAAGCACTTCACAGCCACCCAAAGAGACTCAGTAGCGCTGTTAAGCCCAGCTGGCAAACTGAGGCACAAAGAGCTTATAATACAGCTCCTTAATCACCTTTTGAAGCCTCTAGGATTCAAAAGGGCCCTTGGACCTGCTCAGGCTCCCAGGAAATAGGCATCCCAAGGCCAGTGAGCACCTGGACGTCCTTCCCCTCACGCAGTGCCAGTGTGGCAAGGCTCCAAGGATGCCTGCAAGTCCTGCGATCCCTGTAGGACAGTGTTTGCTGACCCTCTCAGGCTGGTACCATTTTCCTAGCCTGGAAGTGTGCTCTGTCCTGAAACCTCCTGCCCCCAGTGTGACCCTGAGTAGAGAAGGATTGGCTACAGCTTATTCCTCTCATCTAAAGCCACTCATGAAACAGCTCCAGTTCCTTCCCAGGAAAAAACTGTTCCTACCCGGCAGCTGCCTCTCAGCAAAACAACCCAGGTGAATATCAGGGCTCCATCTTTCACACACATGGGAGAACACAGTGGGAGATGCCTCTCCCTGGCTCCAGCCCAGCAAGCTTACAGAGATTTGGTCCTACTGGGACTGGGAACTGGAACCCATTTCAGGATTCAGTAAAACCTTAATCTGCAGCCTAATCTCTGGGTACTGCATCTGTGCAAAAGACAAAAATGACAAATGAAAGGGCTGTAAAGGAGGGTTTGTGACAGCAAAGGCTACTGCAAAGAGCCAGCTCCTCTTGGCCTGCTGGTTTGCAGAGGCATCAGGAATCTTTGCTGAGGCCTCCAGGATGCGCTGAGTGCCTGGTGCTGCACTGGCCAGAGGAGGAGAGGGGAGAGCTGTGCTGCTGCAGGTGAGAGACCTCCTGCTTGTGGTAGGAGACGCACACCCCTGGGTGCAGGGAGCAGAGTGGCAGACCAAGAGGTCTGGCCCTGGGGCGTAGGCAGGTGGTCACCCACCTGTTTTGGAGCAGCATTCCAAGGCCACAGAGCAAACTCTGTGGGCATCTGCTGAGCTTCAAGGTAAACGCATGGCATCAGGGCTGAGCTCAACAACACAGGAACAGCCAGAAGCAGCTGCATGAGCAGCAAAGCCAGCACCACTGCAGTCCCCGAGGGTTTGCGCCTTCAAAACCACTGGGGATCCTCATGGGGCATGAACATCTTCCTGATGCCCTGCTCCCTTCCCATATGGGTGCTTCTTACCTTGCCCATCACCATCTTCAGTCAGGTTGGGCTGAAAATGGCTGGTAAGCTTAGCCCATATTATCAGGGGACAGGTAGAAAGACAGGCACAAGCCCAGAGGAAACCTGACAGTGCAACCTCATTCCAGCAGAAACCGTGCTGCCAGCCAAAGGCTGGCTCAAGGGCAAAGCCAGGGCCAAGCAAATGGCAAGGTGAAAGTCTTTGCTAGCAGAGTGAATCACAGGCAGAGCTGAATCAGAGGCAGGAAAATCAAACCTCAGAAGAAGGGGAAGCTTGCTGCCCAAGCTGGCAAACAGAGGATAACCAGTTTCCCCTTGAGCTCTGTAACAGCACAGATCAGCTCAGGTTTTGCGCTAATTGCAGCATTCCACATCAGACCTGGCTCAGGACTCTCCAGCTTCTGGGGCAGTTGAAGGTGCCACAGGGCATCAGCAGCACAGACGCAGCCTGGCCCACTGCTGGCATGCACCAGCAGGCCAGTGCCATCCCCTCCGCAGTCCCATGCCCTCGTCACCACTGTGCCCACCGCCATGAGGAGGCAAAAGCCCCAGATGTCCCTGGTCATCACACAGTGCTCCGGCACAGCCTCGCTTCAGCAATGCCCTATGCTCCAGTGCCATGGCTGCCAGCAGGAGGCAGAGGTGTGCAAGGGGCACAGGCAGTACCCCAATCTGGAGCCAAATGTGCAGGGACTGCCAGGGCTGTGGGGTGATGAGCAGATTTAGGGGGCATCTTCAATCTGAGCCCCCTGAGCATAAGCCGTGGGGGACAGGAACATGGCCGCATGCCTAACCATCACAGCAAGGTGCCTGACACAGGGCTACGAGCCCCAGCTATTGCTTATCCCTGGAGAAAGCACAGAGCCACGGGGTTGACTTATGGGTAGGTAGGCTCAGTGCAGCAGTGAGAGGTGGCTGGCACTGCTCTTGCCCTACTTTTT